TGTGCTTTCTCTGCTGCACCTCTTGACTCCCTTGCACGGTTCCAGTCCATCAGTTTACCCTTCCTCCTCTGCATGGTTTCTCTTTTGTAGGGATAGTATCTCCTCTGACTACCTCTCTATCCTCTCCATCCTTTTTCCCTGAGGATTTCATTCCACTCTTTTTTGAGTGTGTCTCCACCTGTGCTCAGATTTTTGGGTCCTGTCGTTTTGCATTCCAGGCTGGTGTGTGCCATCTTTTCTGATTGGCCCAACCCCTGTGTGTGCTCCTTCATCAGCCTTCATCGCCCCTTCCTGTGTCCCATCTTTTCTGTGAGTCTTAGTCCCTTTGTTTGCCACAGACTCCTGTGTTACAGAGCCTGTGTGCCAGGCATTCTGGACAGAAAAGGGTTGCTGATGTGAACTCTAGCTGGACTGCTGTGCAGGGGAGCTGTACTAGACAAAGTTGCAAAGATTGTTTGGGGCCAGTCTGGGGTGGGGAATGTGGGGTGCGGGAGGCTTGAATGCCAGCTAGTGAGGTTGGCCTTGTTCCTTTAGATAGTGGAGAGACAGGGAAAGACCGGGGAATGGACATTTATGGAAAGCTTAGTTCTTGCCTGGCACTTTATGTTAATAATCTTACTAATTTTCAACAGTACCTTATGAGAGGTATTATTAATCCAGTTTATGGATGAGTTCAACAACTTGCGCAAGATTGCACAGCTAGTCAGTGCAGGGGTAAAGATTCTAACCTTGCTCTACCTTTGAGTCCAAAGCCTATGAACTTTGTACCACCTACATTATTTTCGTTAGTTTTTCCAGTAATCATCATTCTCCACTTTCATCCCCTAACCCTCCTGTGGGCACTCACTTCAGGTGGCTACTGGGTATCTTTTGGTTCATGTGTGTGCTTGCAATATGTGCACTGTCTTATGTGCACGTGTTTTTTAAAGTGTGTGTGTATGTATGTATGTATGTATGTATGTAGTTTCTACACCCATTGTGGGGCTCGAATTCACAACCCCGAGATCAAGAGTTGCATGCTTTCCTTTTCTAACTGGGCCAGCCAATGCCCCTCTGCGTGTGGTTTTAACTTACGCAAGCGATATTGTGTTATTATGTAAGATAATCAGCACTGTGCTTTTTTTTTTTTTTTAATTTTTTTTTCAACGTTTATTTATTTTTGGGACAGAGAGAGACAGAGCATGAACGGGGGAGGGGCAGAGAGAGAGGGAGACACAGAATTGGAAACAGGCTCCAGGCTCTGAGCCATCCGCTCAGAGCCCGACGCGGGGCTCGAACTCACGGACCGCGAGATCGTGACCTGGCTGAAGTCGGACGCTCAACCGACTGCGCCACCCAGGCGCCCCAGCACTGTGCTTTTTTGATCCATCCACGTGCATATTATGCGTACATCTCATCAGTTTCTTTTAATTGCTGCATGATATTCCACGGTTGGCATCCCCTGCAGGCTGCGTGTTCACTAAGTCTCAGGGAGGGATGCCCACAGTGCTCTTGACTCACCATCTCCCTGATAATGCTGCATCCTTGTATACATTCCTTTGTAGCTGAAGGTGGAGCTCTTTATTACGTCATACCTAGGATATAGTCGTAATGGGTATTTGTAAACCTAATTTGACTCAGTATTGCCAGACTCCTCCCCACAACACTGCTTTGGGGCTGAAACATCGATCAGAACTCTCAACTCCTTTATTCCTCACGGTCCAGAAGAAGGTCCTGTCCCCCTCCCAACGACCCCACGAGCAGCAGTACACAAAAGTCCCTGCATCCCCACATTGCTGCCAACACTTAATCTTCTTCCGGCTTTCTGGTTCTTTGCCAGCCCGATAGATGTACAGTTTGATAGACTGCATTTCTCTGGTTATTGTTAAGCTCGGGTGTCTTCACGTATTTCTTAGCCTCTCTGGTTTGCTCTTCTGAGAATTGTCTCTTCCTATGCTTGGCCCATATTCCTACTGGGGTTACTGTCTTTTTCTTTTCAATTTGCCAGAGATCCTTGGCCATTTTCATTGCTTTAAGGCATTGCGTATGCTCTTCATATGCCAATCTTGACATTTCATATTATTTTAGAAATTAATCCACTTCCTCTGGGTGTTCTAAAGATTTTTTTTTTTTAAGTAATCTCTCTACCCAACGTGGGGCTCGAACTCACAATCCCAATGACAAGAGCCGTGTGATCTACCGACTGAGCCATCCAGGCACTCCGACTTCATCTCGGTTTTCAATTTTATAAATGTAGAGTTCTTAATGATACTTTTATTTTTTAAAAACATCCTGTCTGTTACTTCCTATTTTTCATTTTGTATTTTATTTGCATCGTCTCTTTTTCTCCTAATTAGATTTGCTGGAGAATTATCTTGTGGATCTTGCCAAAGAATGTTAGTTTCCTGCAATAATTTTTATTGTTGCTGCTGTTTTCTAATTCACTGGTTTCTGCCGTTATCTCAATTTCTATCTTTTTTTGGGGGGTGGGGGGAGCAGGGGATGCTTTGTTGCTCCTTATACAACTTCTTAAGTTAACTCATGATCATATTTTTTAACGATCCTGTTTCCTGATAAAGGTATTGAAACTATAAATTTACTTCTAAATACTGCTTCAGTTGTGTCCCAAATTTTGACTTGTAGTTGAAAAAAAAAAAAAACCCCAGTTGATTTTGAAATGATTATTGGCTCACAAGAAGTTGCAAAAGTTGTAAACCCGTAAATACTTCCTCTCACTTCCCCACAGGGACATCTTCTAGAACTGTAGGATGCAAACGTGAACTTGACGTTGGTATAACACTCTTAACTAGACTGTAGACCTGATTAGGTTTCACCAGGTTTTACATGCACTTGTGTGTGTGTGTGTGTGTGTGTGTGTGTGTGTGGTATGTACTAGGTTCATTATTACTCACTCCTGAATACTGATAAATATCCTTTTCAAACCCAAATCTATTCAGTGGTATTTCAGTGAGCTTCCGTACACACCTTTGCTGTTCTGGTCTCACTGTCTCTGGCTGGAGAGCAGCCTGTGTAACGGTGACTCTAAGTCAGCATCTTTGCTCAGCCTCCAATGGGAGGACCTAAGCAGGGGAGAGTCATAACTTGAGAAGCTAACGTGGTGGGTTCGGGGCAGGTTGGAGGGGAGACTATGGAGATGGGAAGACCTGTGTCCCTGAAGGTCTCAGGGAGCCTATGTCACAAAAACTGACAATCAACTTTCTGCTCTCGAAACAGTGACCCAGAGGCAAGTGAACAGAGGATTCAGAAGCTAACTAGAACTGACCTTGATTGATACCTGGATTGAAATTGGTTCCAGATTGACCTCTAGCATCCGGAGACCCAGACCCAGGACCATGGGACCCCAGCACTTGAGCCCTGTGCATCTGCTCTGCCTCCTAGGGGCCATCTTCACTCTGCCTCGTATGTCCTGCAGGGCTAGATGCTTTGGGGGCCCCCAGAGGGTGGGGGGCTGGATTCACATAACTAGGGGACGGAGGGCAGGATATCTGGGTTCCTCGGGGGGACAGGATCTGTGGAGGCTGAGTTCTTGGTTGGCAGTTTGGGGGCTGAGAAAGCAACGTGAGTGGCACACGACTGGAAGGACATTCTCTCCTTAGGGGCTGGGGCTCTTTTGTGCTACGAAGCAACATCCTCGCTCTTCAGAGCTGTGTCTCTCCATAACTGGAAATGGCTTCTGATGAGGAGCATGGTGTGTAAGCTGAGTGAGGGCTGTGAGGAGACGCTGGTATTCATCGAGACAGCTGAAGGGAAGTGGCTCTGGGCTCCAGCGGGGTGTGGTGTGGGCTGGATAAGAGGGCAGGAAGGAGGTGGGCAGATCCCAGGAGGAGAGGGGCAATCTGGGAGAGGAGAAAAGGAAGGGACACAGGGGAGAGAGGAGCAGAGGGGCTCCTGTGGGGAGGGTGGGTTGATGGAGACCCCGGGACCTGAGCCCCGTGCGGCTGAACACCTCAGCACAGCTGGTGATGGGACAGAATGAGCCAGAAGAGCGGGGTGCAGGGTGGGAGGGGGAACTCTGGGTGCGACCAACGACACTGATCAGAGCTCTCTAATCTGCTCCTCAGGGTCCAGAAGGGGAGTTGTGGGTTTTAAGGGCTGCAGCCCAGCCTCCTCTTACGCCCAGCAAGTCTCTTACCTCGTTTCACCGCCTGGACTGTCCGTTGCCTCCTACAGCCGCGTCTGCCGGTCATATCTCTGCAACAACCTCACCAGCTTGGATCCTTTTGTGAAACTCAAGGCCAACACTCCGAGGTCTACAGCATTTTCTTCCCATGGTTGCCCGACCTGTGTGGGCGAACACTCTAAGGGCTGCCTCCCAAGTTTTGTCACCACTGATTCTTGCCCCTATGACGCCTCTCAGTGCTACAGTTCCACCTTAACATTTCAGGCAGGTGAGAGAAGAGAAACTTGCGTTAGTGCCTTCTCATCTCTCAGAGGGGCTGGAGGACTGAGAGGGGGTTGGGGCTGTGGGGAGCAGGCACGTGAACTCCAAGGGGGAAGGAATACGGTGCCTGGTACCCAAGCTTTTGGTGGAAGAACGGGTGTTCTGGTTTGTGAGGCGTGTCTGGAAGGAGGGGTGGGACACTTGCATCTTGAAAGTGTCCCTAACTGCTCTGTCTTCCTCACAGGGCTCCTCAATACCACCTTCCTCCTCATGGGCTGTGCTCGTGGACATCACAAACTTTTAGCAGATTTTCACCATATTGGGAGCATCAGAGTGACCGAGGTCCTCAACATCTTAGAGAAGGGCCAGATTGCTGGTGTAGAGCCCTCCAGTCGGGGTCCTGCTTGGGGCATCCTCTCAGGGCTTCTGCTTGCCTTCAGGGACTGACAGTCTGGCCGGACTGGACAAACCCCTTCCCATAACCCAGTAAAGTCACAGAGTTGCCTTTCTCCTTTGTCCTGTGGTCCATGAGGGTTGTGGGGACATGGGAGGTGTGGGGGGAGGGGCAGGTGGTGGGCAGTGTCCGCGGTGAAGTGAGCAGGGCATGGGTGGGGGTGGGGAGCATCACTGCCAAAGTGACCATGTCATGCCCAGCAGCCAGAGAGAGACAGAGGACGTGAGCGGGGAAGGGGCAGAGAGAGGAAGATACAGAATCCAAAGAAGGCTCCAGGCTCTGAGCGGTCAGCACAGAGCCCGATGCGGGGCTCGAACCCACGAACGGCAGGAACATGACCCGAGCCAAAGTCGGACGCTTAACCGACAGCCACTCAGGCCCTCCCCAAGTTTACTTTTTTAAGTTTGCCTTTTTAGTAATCTCTACGTCCAAAGTGGGGCTTGAACTCATAACCCTGAGATCAAGAGTCTCACACTCCAATGACTGAACCAGACAGGCACCCCCATATTTCCAATATTCCAGTGTATGCTTTTGTTCTTCCGTTTTTACTGGTGTATCACATCCTACTGTATCACCATGCATTTGTCGTCAATCATCCTTGGATTCCTGTCTCCCTCCCCTGCAGTGTTTTGATCCAGCAGTGGCTGCTTATGGATATTCCTTTACATGCCCCCTTACGCTTATGTGTAGGGGTTTTTCCTGGGTACGCACCCAGGAGCGGTATGGCTGGGCTGTAAGGTCTGTTCAGCTTTAGGGGACAATGCCAAATTGTTTCCCAAAGTGGTTGTAGCAGTTATACATTACTAGTGACAAAGTAAAGAATTCTTTTTGATCCGCATCCCTCCGACTTTTCTGACTTTTTAATTCTTGCCAGTCTGGCGGCTGTAAAATGGCATCTCCCTGCAGTCTGAATTTGTGTCTCCCCGAATACTCAGCAGGCTGGGCTTCCTTTCATGGGTGTATTGGCTGTGCTTCTTTTGTAAAATGCCTATTTTATGGGTTTTTTTTTGGTCTGTTTTCCTATAGGGTTATTTATCTTTTTCTTAAATTTATTTTTTTAAGTTTATTTATTTTGAGAGAGAGAGAGAGAGCAGGGGAGGGGCAGAGAGACAGGGAGAGTGAGAATCCCAGGCAGGCTCCATGTTGTCAGCACAGAACACGATGTGGGGCTCGAACTCATGAACCAGGAGATCATGACTTGAACCAAAACCAAGAGTCGGACACTTAACTGAGCCACCCAGGTGCCCCTTATCTTTTTCTCATTGATATATAGGAGTTCCTTATGTATGCTTATATATTAAGTGCTAATAGTCTGTCAGTTGGATGATTTGTCTTCATTTCTTATGGTATCTTTTCAAGAAGAGAGTTTCAATGTTGAATTTCTCAGTCTTCCAGTTTTACGGTTAAATCTTCTCGTGCCTTGCTTAAGAGATACTCTCTTTTCTCCAAAAAGTTAAGTTTGGCTTTCCACATTTCAGTTCTTTTTTTTTTTTTAAGAAGACGGAAATCATACCAACTATATTTGCCAACCACGATGGCACAAAGCTAGAGATCAACAATAAAACAAAGCTGGGGGGGGCGCCTGGGTGGCTCAGCCAGTTAAGTGTCCAACTTCGGCTCAGGCTCATCTCACCGTTTCTGAGTTTGCGTCCTGCATCGGGCTCTCTGCTCCCAGTGCAGAGTCTGCTTCAGATCCTCTGTCTCTCTCTCTCTCTCTCTCTCTCTCTCTGCCCTTCCCCTGCTCTCAAAAGTAAATAAATATTGAAAAAAAAACATAGCTGAAAAATCTACAATGTAAATATTAAATATTTAATATGCAAATACCAAGCAACACACAAGGGCACAGCCAACGGGCCAAATAAGAAATCAAGCAGCAGGGCGCCTGGGTGGCTCAGTCGGTTAAGCGTTCGACTTCAGCCCGGGTCACGATCTCGCGGTCCGTGAGTTCGAGCCCTGCGTCGGGCTCTGGGCTGATGGCTCGGAGCCTGGAGCCTGTTTCCGATTCTGTGTCTCCCTCTCTGTGCCCCTCCCCCGTTCATGCTCTGTCTCTCTCTGTCTCAAAAATAAATAAACGTTAAAAAAAATTAAAAAAAAAAAAAGAAATCAAGCGGCAAGTCAAAGCAAGTCTCAAAAGGAAAGAAGAAGAAAAGACAATATTCCATTCACATTTAGATTCTTAATCGATTTAGAATTGATTTTTGTGCTCCTTTGAGGTAGGAATCTACTTTCATTTTTAAAAATGTGGGTAACTAATTGCTCCACCTCCTTTATGAAATAATTCCACCTTTCCTCATTTATCTGCACCGGCATCTTGGTTGTAGATCAGAGTTCCACATCTGCATGAGTCTGTTTCTGGGCTCCCTGTTTTTTCCAGGGATCAATTTATCTACTCCTGTGCCAGCCCTACACTGTCTTAATTTTTATAACTTTTTACTAAATCTTTCCACCTGAGAACGCAAGTCATTTCCCCCTTACACTTGTTCATCTTCAGGAGGATCTTGGCTTTCCATATAAACGTAGGTTCAGCTTGTAAGTTCCATAAAAACCCTGTTGGGATTTTGGTTTGAACTTCATTGAATAATAGCCAATTTAGGAGATGCTTTATGTATTTATGAAGCTGACCCTTTCTATCCATGAACATGTGACGTCTTTCCATTTAAGTCTTCCCTAATATTTTTCGGTAAAGTTGTTTTTTTTTTAATTTTATGCATGAGTCTGCACATCTTTTGTTAATTTATTCCAAAATGATCTATAGTGTTCGTTATTATAAATGGTTTCTTTTCATTTTTTATTATTTTTTTAAAGTTTATTTTTGAGAGCAAGAAAGTGAGAGAGCAGGGGAGGGGCAGAGAGAGGGAGAGAGAGAATCCCAGGCAGGCTCTACACCATTAGCGCCCCCCACTGGGCTCAATCTCAGGAACAGAGAGATAATGACCTGAACTGAGATCAAGAGTCCAAC